AAGTCAAATGCAGTGATTTATTTTAGACAAAGAACATTTTACATTTACATCCCGCCCTGAATGTAAGACATGTAGGTAGATGATGGACAATAAATGGCTACAGTTGACAGATTTTTAGTTATTTAATAAAACATATTTTTAATTAAAAGCACGGCAGCTGCCTTAATGCCCTGCCCATTTTCAATAGCATTCAGGGCACAACGAAGTGCCTCTTCGCCATAGCCACCACAATCAGATATTTTCTTGTAAACTCTCATCTAAAGATACTTGTACATTTTTTTATTTTCAGAACGGTGGAGAACTGACCCCTAACTCCTATTCTGACACTAACCCTACCCCATATTCTGACCCTAATCCTAACCCCTATTCTGACCCTAACCCCTATTCTAATCCTAACCTTGGCCCCAATTTTAACCCTGAACCCTAACCCTAATCCTAATCCTGCTAACTGGGGGCTAGCTAGCTATGCTAGCAGATGTTAGCTTATGCTAACTAGCTGGCTAGCATTTATTTCACCTCAGACTTTCTGCTAGTGAGGTTGCTAGTTAGCTAACTGGGCTAGCCAGTGCCTAAATCATAGCTAGAAATAAATTATTGGGAGCATCTAGCGCAAAAACAATCAATTTTTTTCTCTCTAAACGTGGATGATTTATCTTAAAGCTTCCCTACATGTGTATATATACACTACCAGTCAAAAGTTTGGACACACCTACTCATTCAAGGGTTTTTCTTTATTTTTTACTATTTTTTACATTGTAGAATAATAGTGAAGACATCCAAACTATGAAATAACACATATGGAATCTCGTAGTAACCAAAAAAGTGTTAAGCAAATTTGAAGAATTTGAGATTCTTCAAATAGCCACCCTTTGCCTTGATGACAGCTTTGCACACTCTTGGCGTTCTCTCAACCAGCTTCATGAGATAGTCACCTGGAATGCATTTCAATTAACAGCTGTGCCTTCTTAAAAGTTAATTTGTTGGATTTCTTTCCTTAATGCGTTTGAGTTGAATCAGTTGTGTTGTGACAAGGTAGGGGTGGTATACAGAAGATAGCCCTATTTGGTAAAAGACCAAGTCCATATTATGGCAAGAACAGCTCAAATAAGCAAAGAGAAACGACAGTCCATCATTACTTTAAGACATGAAGGTCAGTCAATACGGAAAATTTCAAGAACTTTGAAAGTTTCTTCAAGTGCAGTCGCAGAAACTATCAAGCGCTATGATGAAACTGGCTCTCATGAGGACCACCACAGGAATGGAAGACCCAGAGTTACCTCTGCTGCAGAGGATACGTTCATTAGAGTTACCAGCCTCAGAAATTGCAACCCAAATAAATGCTTCACAGAATTCAAGTAACAGACATATCTCAACATCAACTGTTCATAGGAGACTGTGTGAATCAGGCCTTCATGGTCGATTTGCTGCAAAGAAACCACTACTAAAGGACACCAATAAGAAAAATAGACTTTGCTTTGGCCAAGAAATACGAGACATTGACATTAAACCGGTGGAAATGTGTCCTTTGGTCTGGAGTCCAAATAGGAGATTTATGGTTCCAACCGCCGTGTCTTCGTGAGACGCGGTGTGCGTGAACGGATGATCTCCGCATGTGTATTTCCCACCATACAGTATGTAGGAGGAGTTGTTATGGTGTGGGGGTGCTTTGCCTGTGACACTGTCTGTGATTTACACTTAACCAGCATGGCTACCATAGCATTCTGCAGCGTTACGCCATCCCATCTGGTTTAGGTTTAGTGGGACTATCCTTTGTTTTTCTACAGGACAATGACCCAACACACCTCCAGGCTGTGTAAGGGCTATTTTACCATAAAGGAGAGTGATGGAGTGCTGCATCAGATGACCTGGCCTCCACAATCCCCCGACCTCAACCCAATTGAGATGGTTTGGGATGAGTCGGACCGCAGAGTGAAGGAAAAGCAGCCAACAAGTGCTCAGCATATGTGGGAACTCCTTCAAGACTGTTGGAAAAGCATTCCAGCTGAAGCTGGTTCAGAGAATGCCAAGATTGTGCAAAGCTGTCATCAAGGCAAAGGGTGGCTATTTGAATAATCTCAAATATAAAAGATATTTTGATTTGTTTAACACAATTTTGGTTACTACATGATTCCATATGTGTTATTTCATAGTTTTGATGTCTTCTATTATTCTACAATGTAGAAAATAGTAAAAAATAAAGAAAAGCCCTGGAATGAGTAGGTATGTCCAAACTTTTGACTGGTACTGTATATATAAAACAAATGGATCTAACGTCATTGGACTATATCTACAACTTTTTCTAAATGACAAAACATTTGATCAACTTACCTCAAAATTGTTTTGATGGAATGACAACAATTTTGATGAAACAGAGGAAATGTGTAGTTGACAAGACTAGTGGTAGCCAGAATAACTGTTGAATTATTTGTTTGGGACATCTTGTGGTTTTTGTGAGAATTACAGTGGGGGGTGTTACCCCAGGGGGTCGCCCCATACTGTAGTACCCTATACAACTGTCCTGTATAGCCTACTCAACAAGCGTTCTTCTAAGATCCTCAAAGTTCTTCGAAGAATCTTAGGGTTCTTGGCACTGAAAATGGCCCCCAAAAGGTTCTTCCAAGATCGAAGAACCTCCTTAGTTGGTGGGGGTTCTTGCAGGAACCTAACTGCCCAGCTGAAACATTTGGATTTGAATTTGAAAGGACAGCAGGTGAAGGCACTTAACTGAAAAATGTAAAGATCTCCTCAATTTAAGTTAAGGTTTGTCCCTTGTATGATCTAAAATAATATTGTTTTATGATGATACCATCTATCTTTTTCATATTTGTGCAAATCTTTCTAAAAGAGAAAATGGACACAATTCAATGGATATCAATCAACAAAGGGGTAAACATATGTAGGCTATTAGAATATGTTGAAGGATAGCTGTATTGGGTGCAGATGAATGAACTGCTCAATTTTGTGTCTCTGTCTGCAAGTATACAGACAAGGAGGCATACAAAGGTATGTCAATTGGTTTTGGTATGTTATGCAGATCACATTTACCATCCTCCTCCCTTACCTCTTCAATGAATATCCCATAGACCTCTACATTATGGACAAAGTATGTGAATGAAAAAACCATTATCAAAACAGATTTTTTTCATTCACATTCACCACAAAAACCAAGGTATGAATACTGTGATGTGCATGTTTTGTTAATCATCTGTATAATTACATTTTTGGGGATTCACAGATTTCACCCTCCCTACACCTCTGATGAATATAACAGGAAACCTGTTCAATCACCATGCACTGCAAAATCATTCTGGCTATGGATACGGTCTGATATGCGCTTTTGAACACCTGAGTAAGCTCCACTCATTCCACTCACGCCATCGTAGCCTTGACCACAACATTTGTTACTTTCAATCAGTTCAATCATTTATTTTTCAAGGCCTGAGGCACTTTGATCGTACTGGACACCCCCCCACAGCCTTGTGGGGGCTGTAGGGGGGTGACCGGTACGCCAGTGATGGTACAAACAAACACTCAAATTGGCCAGTAAAGGACATTTCATTGAGAGTGAATTATCTAAAATTCCCTTGAAAAAATAAATTATTGTTTTTATATAGAGGAATTCTGTTTTCTATATGGTTTAAAGTGGGGTTTGATGCCTTTTATGTGGGTCTGCAAATATGCTGGGGGTCACAGTCATTATTTTGTATATTTAACATCCTGTCTTATAACCTGTTCACAGAAATGAGATTTTTAACATTATAACCATTATTTACGGTACATAAAATAATATACTTTATACACAGTACACTCTAAAAAGTAAAGGTTCCTGGAGGATCCTTTAGGGGTTCTTCTAATTGAAACTGTGGGGGAACCCCTATAAGTTCTTCGAAGAACCCCTTTAATGGATCCTCGAAAAACCTTTTGGGGTTAATTTTTGAACCCCCCCCCCCCCTATTATTATTAATAATATGCATAACAATAACACAATATTTTAGTTATCCGTTTTCATTATGATTTTAGTGGCAGAGCAGAATATAAAAATCAAAATATGAGGTAAACTCCCAGCAGAGCCCCAAGTCCAATGGGTATATCCTCTGGTGTGTTGTTAATGTGTTGATGTTCTCCGTATCCATAGCCAGAATGATTTTGCAGTGCATGGTGATCAAACAGGTTTCCTGTTATATTCATCAGAGGTGTAGGGAGGGTGATGTCTGTGAATCCACATTTTTTAAAATTATACAGCTGTTTAACAAAATATGCACACAACAGTATTCATACCTTGGTTTTTGTGGTAAATGTGAATGAAAAAAACTGTTTTGATAATGGTTTTCATACATGACATAATGTAGAGGCCTATGGGATTTTCATTGAAGAGGTAAGGGAGGAGGATGGTAAATGTGATCAGCATAACATACCAATACCAATTGACATACCTTTGTATGCCTCCTCGTCTGTATACCTACAGACACAAAAGTGAGCAGTTCATTCATCTGCACCCAATACAGCTAGCCTTCAACATATTCTTATAGCATACATAGTCTTACCTCTGTTGATTGATATCCATTGAATTGTGTCCATTTTCTGTTTTAGAAAGATTTACACAAATATGAAAAGATAGATGGTATCATCATAAAACAATATCAATTTAGATCATACACGTTGAAAACCTTACCTTAAATTGAGATATATAAACTAAAAACTAAAAACTAAATTAAGTGCCTGCACCTGCTGTCCTTTCAAATCCAAATGTTTCAGTTGGGTTCCTGCAAGAACCACCAACTAAGGAGGTTCTTGGAAGAACCCTTTGGGGGCAATTTTCAGTGCCAAGAACCCTAAGGTTCTTCAAAGAACTTTGAGGATCTTAAAATAACCCTTGTTGAACCCCTAATTTTTGGAGTGTAGCTTCTGTTGCGAGGTCACGATGAGTGCTCTGTTGCATTTAATTATCTAAACTTTCTAAGCTTTGTAAACTTTCTAAGCTTGGAGCCCTTAAAATACAGATGGTGAGATTGAAAGCAATTTTTTATTTCAGGTAATTTGAGTCTTTGTAAACAAACAATGTATTGCTTCAAAATATGTTTGATCTAATGCAGCCTTTTTCAAACGGGGACCCCCAGCCATTCAATTCCAGAGCTAGCACACCCGATTCAACTTGTCTACTTGACTAGGAGAATTAGTAAATTTTTTATTGACTAGGTGAATTGTCTACTTGACTAGGTGAATTAGTAAATTTTTTATTGACTAGGTGAATTGTCTACTTGACTAGGTGAATTAGTAAATTTTTTATTGACTAGGTGAATTGTCTACTTGACTAGGAGAATTAGTAAATTTTTTATTGACTAGGTGAATTGTCTACTTGACTAGGTGAATTAGTAAATGTTTTATTGACTAGGTGAATTGTCTACTTGACTAGGTGAATTAGTAAATTTTTTATTGACTAGGTGAATTGTCTACTTGACTAGGTGAATTAGTAAATGTTTTATTGACTAGGTGAATTGTCTACTTGACTAGGTGAATTAGTAAATGTTTTATTGACTAGGTGAATTGTCTACTTGACTAGGTGAATTAGTAAATTTTTTATTGACTAGGTGAATTGTCTACTTGACTAGGTGAATTAGTAAATGTTTTATTGACTAGGTGAATTGTCTACTTGACTAGGTGAATTAGTAAATTTTTTATTGACTAGGTGAATTGTCTACTTGACTAGGTGAATTAGTAAATTTTTTATTGACTAGGTGAATTGTCTACTTGACTAGGTGAATTAGTCATGTTGTGAATTGACTAGGTGAATTGTCTACTTGACTAGGTGAATTAGTCAAGTTGTGAATTGACTAGGTGAATTGTCTACTTGACTAACTAGGTGTGCTAGTTCAGGACAAAATTGTGAAATGTCTGGGGGCCAAGAGGAGAGGTTTGAAAAGCACTGCTCTAATATATAGACTGTGAGTCCTTGCATCCATAGCTGTGTAACACATTTGGGTTGTGCTTCTCCAGACCAAATACACACACATGTCCCTCTGTCTCCGTCCCCCCCCCCCCTCCTGCAGGGAAAGCTGGTGAAGTACTTCAGTCGCCAGCTGTCCTGTAAGGTGAGAGCGGCCTTACAGGAGGACAGCACAGAGCTACAGGACTTCCCCCGGCTGGGACACTGGTTCCGTATCGTCAACCTGAGGAAGGAGGTCACTGAGGTACTTTGATTTACATCTACGTATCACAATCACTGTAAGTAAAACCTTCTTACAAATAGCCAATGATCTGCAAAATTAGTGCTAGTAAAAGTAAAGGGGAAACAATACATTTACAATTTAGTCATTTAGCAGCACCACGGTTGGGGTCAATTCTATTTAAATTCCAGTCAATTCAGAAAGTAAACCAAATTCCAACTCCCAATTCTACATTTTCCTAATTTAAAAGCTTTGAAGAGAATTGGAATTGGAAGTTTTGTGTACTTCCTGTTTACAAGAGCGATCAGGATGTTGGATCAGACTAACACCTCATCATAAACAAACATTGCTTTCAATTTCTATAAGCCCAACATAGTCTTCTTCCTTTGCCCAAAAACACATCACTTCCTGAACCTTCTCGAGTGCTACCTTATCTCTCTAACATGCATTGTTGTTGCTAGCACTGACTCTGCTCATAGCTACTTTATTGATGAAAAGTTTTACTTGCTACAACTCTGATATGTGGTTGTCTAGCTGCGTTAAGATGAATGCATTAACTTCAAGTCGCTACGGATAAGAGCGTCTGCTAAATGACTAACATGTAAATGACCCCAACCCTGTTTAGACGCTCTTATCCAGAGCCACTTACAGTTAGTGCATTCGTCTTAAGGTAGCTATGTGAGACAACAACACATCACAGTCAGTCATAGTAAGGAACAACAAAAAACGAAATGATCAGAAAAGTCAGTGCTAGTAAGAAAATAACTCTGTGTTGCTGCACGTTTCGTTCTTCCTGTCCATGTCATCTTTTATTTTATATGCTGAACACAAATATAAGCACAACTATTTCAAAATTTTTACTGAGTTACAGGTCATATGAGGAAATCAGTCAATTGAAATAAATTAATTAGGCCCTAATCTATGGATTTCACATGACTGGGAATACAGATATGCATCTGTTGGTCACAGATACCTTTTAAAAAATGGGCCTCACAATGGGCCTCAGGATCTCGTCACGGTATTTTTGTGCATTCATATTGCTATCAATAAAATGTAATTGTGTTCGTTGTCCGTAGCTGATGCCGGCCCATACCATAACTCCACCGCCACCATGGGGCTCTCTGTTCACAACATTGACATCAGAAAACTGCTCATCCACACGACGCCATACACATTGTCTGCGGTTGTGAGGCCGGTTGGATGTACTGCCAAATTCTCTAAAACGACGTTGGAGGTGGGTTATGGTAGAGAAATGAACATTCAATTGTCTGACAACAGCTCTGGTGGACATTCCTGCAGTCAGAATGCCAATTGCACGCTCCATCAAAACTTGAGACATTTGTGGCATTTTGTTGTGTGATCATGCTGTTTAATCAACTTCTTGATATGCCACACCTGTCAGGTGGATGGATTATCTTGGCGAAGGAGAAATGCTCACTAACAGGGATGTAAACACATTTGTGCACAACGTGAGAGAAATAAGATTTTTGTGCATATGGAACATTTCTGGGATCTTTTATTTCAGCTCATGAAACATGGGACCAACACTTTACATGTTGGTTTATGTTTTTGTTCAGTGTATAATCAAAAGACCTGATCTTATATCAGCATTCTCTGATACTCTTGGTAAATATGGTCCAGGGGTATCAAACTCAATTTCTGGAAGACCACATTGTCTGCATTTCTTTGGTATTCTTTCCTTTAAATGAGTGTCTGATTTAGACCTGGTAAGCCAGGTGTGTTGACTTCCTGTCTGGGAGAAATGAAAACCTGCAGTCTGCTAGCCTGGGTGCCAGTCCGTTTCTGCTCTCTAGCCAACTCCTTATGGAATCGTCATGACAATGACAATGAAGTAGGCAAAAGCACAAACAGATCTGGGACCAGGCTACTCGTGTGTGTGTTCTGTAGGAGATGGGTCCGGGCGAGGTGACTCTGGAGGGGCTGTTGGAGATGAGTGATGAGGAGGTGTGTGAGGCCATGGAGAAGTTTGGAGCCAACGACGAGGAGTGTGCCCGGCTCAATGCCTCTCTGTCCTGCCTAAGGAGGGCCCACAAGTCAGGTAGGAACCCTACACACTCAGAGGGAGGAAAGGTAGACAGTGGGGACAAGTCAGGTAGGGCCCCTAACACATGCCATCTCTGAGGAAGGGAGAGAGAGAGGGAGGGAAGAAGGGAGGAGGAGAGAGAGAGGGGGAGGGCACTCTGGGATGTAACTGACTCCTCTAGGTTGTTATTGCCTCAGTTCAGGGGAGTTTTCAGTTAGTGCTTTATACAGTAGCCTTGTACTACTATCGCGATCTCGCAAGCTTCCGTAAATACACTGAGTGTACAAAATATTAGGAACACCATCCTAATATTGAGTTGCACCCTCCTTTGCCCTCAGAACAGCCTCAATTCGTCGGGGCATTGACTCTACAAGGTGTCGAAAGCGTTCCACAGGGATACTGGCCCATGTTGACTCCAATACTTCCCACAGTTGTGTCAAGTTGGCTGGATCTCCTTTGGGTGGTGGACCATTGTTGATACACACGGGAAACTGTTAAACGTCTAAAACCCAGCAGCGTTGCAGTTCTTGACACACACAAACTGGTTGCGCCTGGCACCTACTACCATACCCTGTTCAAAGGCACTTACATACACAATCCATGTCTCAATTGTCTCAAGGCTTAAAAATCATTTTTTAACCTGTCTCCTCCCCTTCATCTACACGGATTGAAGTGGATTTAACAGTTTACATCAATAAGGGATCATAGCTTTCACCTGGATTCACCTGGTCAGTCTGTCATGGAAAGAGTAGGTGTTCCTAATGATTTGTACACTCAGTGTATGTTTCGCTACAAGCAAAACATATTCATGTAAGCTCACGATATCAGGATGGTAGTATTAGGCTAAATATACCAGAGCTCTCCAACCCTGTTCCTGGAGAGCTACCGTCCTGTAGGTTTTCGCTCCAACCCTAATCTTGTGCACTTCATTATAATTATTAACTGGTTGATAAGCTGAATCAGTTTAGTTACAGGAGGGTAGCTCTCCAGGAACAGGGTTGGAGAGCCCTGATCTATACAGTTCATGAGGACTTTTCATAAACTGGTGCATGTCGCCATCTGTTGACCAGATTTAGCAACACAGCATGAAGTCAATATAGCCTGAATGCCAGTCTCAGAAATGTGCCTTGCTTTATTTAGTCTGGAAACTAAATTAAAATGTATAAGTGGGTTGTTAATTGATATGGGGTATTATGCGTTAGTTCACAATGAGGAATGAAGGGCTGGAGTTTACAATGACTGGTGGGATTTAATCTGTTGACTCTGCTAGTCTATTCTGTTGTGTTAGTGCAAAAGCCTGCACACCTTACGATCACTTTTATTGGTCAATTGCACACAATTTCCAACCGAAATTTGACTTCCGCTTTTATCCCAACCCCTCCAAAAGACACATGCAGGTTTTGGCTGCCAAACTGGGTACCAATGAAGCTGTTGTGGAGGGTTAAATGACTTGCTCAAGGGCACAACGTCCGGCAATGGCATCTAGAATTTGATACCAGCAACCCTTTGTTCTGACCTGGGATTCGAACTGGATTCAACCTCCGGTTGCTGGCTTGCCTCTCTAAGCGCTAGGCTACCTGCTATGCTGTGGGTCTTCAGTACCAGGTTTTAACAGGGAAATATCTAAGGGTTAAATGATCCATATTGAGTTATTAAATGCTCTTGCCATTATTGGATTAATGAAGCTCTCTGCCCTTGCATACTGTAACAGCCACTTTTAGTACCCCTTACCTGTGACTGTGTGACATCCTCACAGTAGTCTCCTCGTTCCTCTCCATGGGTGCATCTCAATAGTCAAACGCCGCTCCGTGGGTGCATCTCAATAGTCAAACGCCACTCCGTGGGTGCATCTCAATAGTCAAACGCCGCTCCGTGGGTGCATCTCAATAGTCAAACGCTGCTCCTTGTCTCCTTTCCTTCATCTCCACTGATGAAAAGAATCAGACAACGGAAACCAAATTATTGTAAGGCATTACAAGACATTACACCATTTTGCTTTCACCTGCCCAGTGTTTTCAGATCAGTATAGATGAAGGGAGGATATGAGGAGAGGAGGCTGCTGTAGACTATTTATGTACCCTCCCAGCACATAGAGCATGTAGTCCGTTGGCATCTTGTCCAATAGTGGGCAGCACAGACCACATTTTTATTTTCTGAACTAAACAGTCTAGTGTTGTAGTGTTGCTGGCTGAGCAGAAGGGGACAGTAGACCATCACACAACTAGGTTTGAAATCAAGGTTTGATAACCTGCCATTTGATGTGTGTTCCTCCCCCTACACACACACACACACACACACACACATTCATTCCCACCAGATGAGTCACTGGGAATACTTAATGTTATCAAGCCAAGTTGAGAAGAGTTGTATTGTCACTGCAGTGCTCTCCTCATCTCAGCCATAGTACACAGACCCGGAATATTTTTATCCAAATGAAAAGACAGCAGATGTTGCTTTAGGAAAGTCTGGTCATGTACCAAACTGTTGTCAGAAAACTCAACGTCCCGTTGGTCCCAAAGCTCATCTGAGGGTCACTTCCCTTCCCTGCTTTGATTCTACACGCAGCTAACTCCAGTAATAATAATAATGGATTGGATTTATAAAGCGCCTTTCTACCAGCTGAGCTACTCAAAGCGCTTTACATAGAAAGGGGGGGAACTCACCTCATCCACCACCAATGTGTGGCACCCACCTTGGTGATGCACGGCAACCATTTGCCAATTAGGAATGACGGGATGATTGGGTGGCCATGATGGAATGGGGCCAGGTTGGGAATTTAGCTTGCGATAAGTGCCATGGAATTTGTAATGACCACAGACTGTCAGGACACCCATTTAACGTCCCATCTGAAAGACAGCACCCTACTCAGAGCAGTAGGCAGGTTCATTGTAGCCTGTGGGTGTTGAATAGGCTCTAGGCTGGGGTCAGATAGTGACTGGATACACAGACACACACTGGTCTGGCCTGGTCTGTGTGTCTGTTCCTAAGGCCTGATTAGATTGTAGCCAGTAGCTGATTGGCTGCTGAGCTCCAACTTCCTCCACAGGAGACAGCCGGGGGATTGGACGCCCATACAGAGTCCAGTTGGGTGTGTGTGTGTGCCTAGTTATAGTTGTTCCAACCAAGCCTAATAGATCACACATACACATAGGCTAGGCCTGTACGTCAGTGGCGGTCGTGCCGTTTAAGATGAGGGAGGACGATTATTTTTTTTAATGAGCATGGCCTTATTTCTATTACAGAATATTGGATGACTGTCATTCATATTCCATTCACCCAGCTCAATGTAACATCGATAGGTTTAGGCTACTACACTCAAATTCTCCCTGTACCCATCATGAGGTTGCTACAACTTAGCCTTATGAATGAACGTTTACAACGTAGGTACACAGGTCGAGAGAAATTTGAGTAATCAAGGTGACAGACATTGACACATTCAATACCGCCTTGCACACTCTCGCCTGCATCTAACTGATCTAGGGTGTAATCATTAGTCCAAGAGTTGCAAACAAGTTTCTATTGGACAAATTCAGGTATGTTTATCCCCGTTTGCTTCCGTTTAAGAAACGTTTTTCAACAGAATAGGCGGAATGAATACACCCCTAATCAAACACAGTTCACTTTCATAGCAGCCACATACAAACAGCATGATCCCTTTGATCGTTGTATAATTCCTTCTCGCATCGACGCGCTCTCCTCCTCTCACCTTTTCCCTTTGCTTGTGGACTTCAGTGCACAACAAATCAGCTGTCTGTGGCCAGGCGAAAAAAAACGTTCCAAGCCAAACCTTCATATCATAACCGCTAACAGCTACACACAGCCTACATCGTTGTCACCATATTAGCTAACGTCATAGTCAACATACATACTAGAACTAACGCTTTAGTAAATCCGCTACAATCATGCAGTACAGTCAGTAATACGAAATTGTAACTATTTTGCACTATGGCCTATTTATTGCCTTACCTCCATAACTTACTACATTCGCACACACTGTATATATATTTTCTGTTTGTATTTTTGACTTTGTTTTGTTTTACCCCATATGTAACTCTGTGTTGTTTTTATCACACTGCTTTGCTTTATCTTGGCCAGGTCGCAGTTGTAAATGAGAAATGAGGTACTGTTCTCCTCAGTCATCCTGCTTCTCTTGGTCAGGAAGGGGGTTGGACACACACACTCCTTTCTATCTCTCTCTCTCTCTCTCTCTCTCTGTCTCTCTCTCTCTCTGATTCTCCTCTCTTACTCTTCTCGAGCTCTCTCTCTGCTGCTCTTTTCTGCCTCATATCGTCGACAGTTGTCTGTGGCTCTCTATCTCTCTTATCTCTGCTCTCTCTGTCTCTCTCTCTCTCTACTGTCTATCGTCTATCTTTTTGTCTCTCTGACTTCAATCTCTCTGTCTCTCTGTCTCTCTCCTCTCTCTTCTATCTCATCTCTCTGTCTCTCTCTCTCTCTGTCTCTCTGTCTCTCTGTATCTCTCTCTCTCTCTCTCTTCTCTCTCTCGTTCTTCCTTCCTGTCTGATCCATCTCTCTCTCTTTCTTCTCTCTCTGTCTCTCTTCTCTCTCTCTCTTCTGTCTCTCTCTCTTCTCCTCTCTTTCTCTCTCTGTTTTTGTTCTCTCTCTCTCTCTCTCTCTGTCTCTCTGCTCTCTCTCTCTCTCTCTCTCCTCTCTCCTCTCTCTCTCTCTGTCTCTCTCTCTGTCTCTCTCTCAGGTGTGAATGTAACAGAAACACTGTGCTTGTTATTAGGGCCACTCATACTCAGAGCGAAAGGGAGAGAAAGGCCTATTTTGTCTCCCAGGCTACATCTCAAATGGCACCCTATTCCCTATATAGTGCACTACTTTTGATCAGGGCCCATAAGGCTCAGTCTCATCCCCAGCCTCCAGCCCCCAGCCTCAGACTCATCCCCAGCCTCCAGCTTCATCCTCAGCTTCTAGCACCACAGCCAGCCTCTAGCTTCATCCCCAGCCCCAGCCCCCGGCCTCATTTCTAGCCTGAGCCTCCATTCCCAGCCTCCAGACTCATCACCAGCCTCCAGCCCCATCCCCAGCCTCCAGCCCCACACTCCAGCCTCATCTCTAGTCTGAGCCTCCATTCCCAGCCTCCAGGCTCATCCCCAGCCTCCAGCCTCTTCCCCAGCCTCCAGACTCAGCCCTTTCTTTAAACCTAAGAGAGAAAATGACCACCACTACACTCTGACGCTTACATTTGCTGTGTGTTTTTGAATTCTCTGAGAGGAACGGGTCCGTTGGGAAAATTCATGGCCCTCTATGGAAGCCTGTCTTTGTAACTCCTACGCAGAACATTATGCAGAATATTCACATGAAAAGTTAGAATTGTCACATTATTTTGTAATGACTCTTAAAGCCGTTGCATACTTTGTTGCACTTCTGTCATTGGAGAAGCAAGGCAGTGATTAATACAGACTTTGTTGTGTACAGGATTTGTAACCTCACTTGGACTCCTCAGCTTGAAATGTCTCCACCCACGCAGCAGAATTGCTAGCTTTTTGGTGGCATAGCTGGCTAAGACATTGTCAAAGGGGTGTGTTTGTGAGACAGAGGTCCCGAGTTCAGTCTCTGTGTGAGCTGGTGACTGAGGAAGAGGTACGGTTACTCAGGTATGGGTACGTCCGTCACTGTTGCATCCATAACAATGTTTTTGAGGTTCAAATAGAAAAATGTAAGGCGTGACATGAAATTGCATATTGAGAAGTGAGTCAAGTAATTCACTTAGCGTAAATGAGAATGTCAGCTATTAAGAACACTTCCATTTAAAGCGTATATTAGAATAGTTTATTACGTTAAAAACAAATGCAAGGTGATTGTGGCTTTCACACAGCTCTTGGTTGGTATTTCAACTCAGAGGTTGCTTCAGCGTTGAGTCATATTATTTCAGCTAGGGTCTTGTCAGTTAGTCCCTCTGTGTTGCTGCAATGTACACACATTATATACCCAGCATGCTCCTCTTCAGTAGCCCACACACACACACTCACCACATGTACGCATGCATGCACACACGCACACACACTCACTGTAAAGCCAACATCCTGCCTTGTCCTTACTAATAGTGTTGATCTAACGCTAAGAGCTAAGTGTTCGTGAGAGAGACAAGTCGTGCCCTGAAGTCTCAGTATGCGTCCTCACTTATCTTTTCATCATTAAAAGGACTGTCCCCACGCCTGCCCTGCCTTAAGATCGCATGGCTTCAAATGACATATGTGAGTATAGAAAAAAAGAGTAGAGGAGGAGAGAGGAGAGGACAAGAGAAGAGAGGAGGAGAGGACAAGAGAGGAGAGGACAAGAGGGGAGAGGATGAGAGGACGAGAGGATGAGAGGACGAGAGGAGAGGAGTATGGGAGAGGAGGAGAGGACAAGAGAGGAGAGGAGATAGGGAGAGAGGAGGCCCCGAGGACAAGAGAGGAGAGGAGTATGGGAGAGGACAAGAGAGGAGAGGACAAGAGAGGAGAGGACAAGAGAGGAGAGGACAGGAGAGGAGAGGACAAGAGAGTAGAGGAGTATGGGAGAGGAGGAGAGGACAATGGAGGAGAGTGGTATGGGGAGGGACAAGAGAGGAGAGGACAAGAGAGGAGAGGCAAGGAGAGGAGAGGAACAGGAGAGGAGAGGCCATAGAGTTAGAGGAGTATGGAGAGGAGGAGAGGAAAAGAAGAGGAAAGGAAGGAGAGGATATGAGAGAGGGAGGAGAGGTCAAGAGAGGACGAGGGACAAGAGAGGAGAGGAGTGTGGAGAGGAAGACGAGGCAAGGAGAGGCGAGACAGGAGAGGGTTATGAGAGAGGAGATGAGGATCAAGAGAGGAGAGGAGTGGGGAGAGGAGGGGTGCGGACAAGAGGAGGAGAGGCGTTATGGGATGAGGAAGAGAGAAAAGAGATGAGGAGGACAGAGAGGAGAGGGGTATGGGAGAGGAGGAGGGAGAGGAGGCGGAGGACAAGAGGCGGACAGGAGAGAGAGGAGAGGAGTAGGGATGAGGACAAGTGAGGAGCGGACAGAGAGGAGGGGGGTGGGAAGGAGGAAGGAAGCGGACAAGCGGTCAAGAGAGGATGAGGACAAGGAGAGGAGGGAGTATGGAGAGGAGGAGAGGACAAGAGAGGAGAGGATCGAGAGGCGTATGGGAGAGGAGGAGAGACAAAGAGAGGAGAGGAGTGTGGGAGAGGAGGAGAGGACAAGAGAGGAGAGGACAAGAGAGCAGGGGGGTATGGGAGAGGACAAGAGAGGACAAGAGAGAAGAGGACAAGAGGAGAGAGGATGAGAGGAGAGGACGAGAGGAGGAGAGGAGTTATGAGAGGGAGATGAGAGGAGAATAGGATAGAGACAAGAAGAGGAGAGAGGAGAGAAGGGAAAAGAGAGGAGAGGCATATGGGAGAGGGAAGGACGAGACAAGAGAGGAAAGGAGTATGGGAGCCGGAATGAGGAAAGACAGGAGAGGCGAGGACAAGAGAGGCGCGGGGTTATGGGGAGGAGAGGAGGAGAGGACAAGGGGGAGAGCGCTGGCAGTGATGTGAGGACAAGATGATTTGAGAGATGGTTGTTGTTGGATGGGGATGAGTAGAGGGACAAGAGAGGACACGCGAGGGAGGAGGCGCGGACCAGAGAGGAAGAGGGGTAGGGCGCGAGGAGGGGAGGACAAGATGAGGAGAGTGGATATGGAGAGGAGGAGAGGACAAGAGAGGAGGGGGAGGAGGGGTATGGGAGAGGAGGAGAGGGACAAGGAGGATCGAGAGGGTATGGAGAGAGGAGGAAGAGGACAATGAGAGAAGAGGAGAAGAGGACAAGCGAGCAGAGGACAAGAGAGGGGACGGGGCGCGGAGAGGAGGAGAGGAGGAGAGACAAGAGAGTGAGAGGGAGTATAGGAGGAGGAAGAGAGAACCAAGAGAGGGAGGACAAGAGAGGAGAGGGTCTGGGAGAGGGAAGGAGCGGACAGGACAAGAGAGGAGGGAGGACAAGAGAGGAGAGAACAAGAGAGGAGAGGGGTATAGGAGAGGATGAAAGGAAAGAGAGAAGGAGGACAAAGAGGGGAGAGGATGAGATGAGAGGAGAGGAGGAGAGGACAAGACGGGACAGGAGCGAGAATAGGATAGGGACAAGAGAGGGAGAGGAGAGGAGGAAGAGAAAAGAGAGGGACTATGGGAGGGCGGAGGAGAGAGGCCAACGCGAGGAGAGACAGGCGGAGAGGATAGGACAAGAGAGGAGAGGATGGAGAGGACAGAGAGGAGTAGGGAGAGGGCGAGGAGGACCAAGAGAGGAGCGGAAAGAGAGGGAGCGGAGTATGGAAGAAGGAGAGGAGAGGAAAGAAAGGAGAGGAGAGGGGAGGGGAGAGAAGGAAGAGGAAAAGAGAGGAGAGGAGTATGGGAGCTGAGTAGAGGACAAAGAAGAGGACAAGAGAGGAGATGGGAATGGGAGAGGGGGATGCGGCGAGGAAGAGGGAGAGGAGGATGAGGACAGGAGAGGACAAGAGAGGAGAGGACAGAGAGGAGAAGAGGGCTCTGGGAGAGGAGCGAGGACATGAGAGGAGAGGTATGGGAGAGGAGGAGCGGACAAGAGAGTGATAGGGTATGGGAGAGGATGAGAGGACAAAGAGAGCTGAGAGGAGATGGGAGAGAGAGGAGGGAGTGAGAGGACAAGGAGGACAGGACAAGGAGGAGAGGGAGTATAGGACAAAGAGAGAATGAGGAGGAGAACAAGGTGGAGAGGGGTTGGTTCATAGGAGAGGAAAGGATGAGAGGAAAGAGACAGGAGGACACGAGGGAAGAGGATAGGAGGAAGGAGGGGGACAAGAGAGGACAGAGAATAGGAGAGGACAAGAGCGGAGAGGAGGGAGAGGACAGAGAGCAAGAGAGGAGTTTGGGAGCGGAGGCGAGGAAGGAGGATGGAGGACAAGAGAGGAAGAGGAGTATGGAAGAGGAGAGGACAGAGGAGCGGACCCAAGACGGGAGAGGAGAAGGCGATGGGAGAGTGAGGAGAGGAAAAGAGAGGAGAGGAGTTGGGGAGATTGAGTAAGAGGACAAGAGAGAGGACAAGATAGGGATGGGTATGGGAGAGGGGTAGGGAGAGGAGGACGAGGGAGAGGAAGGAGAGGACACGAGAGGCCGAGGCAAGAGAGAAGAGGGATGGGAGAGGAGCCGATGGACATGAGAGGAGAGGGGTCTGGGAGGATGGAGGACAGCGAGGATAGGGGTATGGGGAGAGGAGGAGAGGACAAGAGAGGACGAGGGAGAGGACAAGAGAGAAGAGGGGTATGGCGAGAGGAGGCGATGGACAGGAGAGCAGTGACAAGAGAGGAGAGGATCGCGAGGATGAGGGACAAGCGACGGAGAGGACAAGAGAGAGAGCGGGGCGTATGGAGAGTAGGGACAAGAGAGAGGACACGCGAGGAGAGGAGGAGAGGACAAGAGAGGAGAGGAGTATGGGAGAGGAGGAGAGGCAAGAGAGGAGAGAGGGGTAGGGGGAGAGGAGGAGAGACAGAGAGGAGAGTGGTATGGGGAGGAGGAGAGGACAAGAGAGGAGATGCGTATGGGAGGAGGAGGATGAGGACACGAGAGGTGAGGAGAAGAGGATCATGAGAGGAGCGGAACAAGGAGAGGAGAGGGGTGTGGGAGAGGAGGAGAGGAGTATGGGACAGGAAGAGAGAACAGAAGAGGACGAGGACACGAGAGGCGAGGGGTTATGGGAGAGGAGGAGAGGAAAGGAGAGGACAGCAGGAAAGAGAGGTAGAGAGTATGGGAGAGGAGGAGCGGACAAGAGAGGAGGAGAACAAGAGTGGAGAGAGGGGTATGGAGGACGGCTGAGAGGACAAGAGAGAAGAGGACAAGAGGGGAGAGGATGAGAGGAGAGGACGAGAGGAGAGGAGGAGAGGACAAGAGAGGACAGGAGAATAGGATAGGACAAGAGAGGAGAGGAGGAGAGGACAAGAGAGGAGTATGGGAGAGGAGGCGAGGACAAGAAGGAGAGGAGATTATGGGAGAGGACGAGAGAAGAGTATGGGAGAGGAGGAGAGGAGGAGAGGACAAGAGAGGAGAGGAGTATGGGAGAGGAGGAGAGGAGAGGACAAGAGAGCAGGGGAGTATGGGAGAGGAGGAGAGGACAAGAGAGGAGAGGACATGTGAGGAGAGGAGTATGAGAGAGGAGGAGAGAACAAGAGAGGAGAGG